GTATTGTAAAATATTTTTTTTATGTGTTTCACACCGTGTGTAAAATCAATCGTGTAACATCAACGTTTCCTCCTGTTTCTTGTTCTTGTGACATCCACTCAGACATTTGATATTCTAATTCTGATACTGAACAGGTATCATAGTTTGACAAAGTTCTATTTTTATATATATAAAAATCTGGCTAAAATAAATGACCGTATATATATGCAATTTCGTGATTCAAATGTAACGATAAACACATGAATCTGTAGTTTGTACGTATGTAAAAGTTAACATTAATATAATATCAGATATATAGATTAAGACTTTTTTTTTTTTTTACTTAGTGTTAAGGAATCAACAAAATCGACTTTTATTCTAAAGTACATATTGAGTAAAAAATTATTTAAAGTTTTTTTTAGTAACCATTTATGGGATATTTTTAGGTTAAAATAGATTAACGTGAGTTATGGTTTTTTTTTTTTTTTAAAAAAAAACAGTTTCATTTTCATTTAATTTTCGATCCCATTTTTTTGATCTACAGAATGTAATTGTCGACGCAAGTTTAGGATTAAAACTTGATAATCTATTAACGTTAAAATTTACCATTTTAGGTGTTTGTTTTTGTACAATGTTACCGTTACATTTCATATACAGTATAATAATGTTAAATCCTTGCCTTATATACATTTTGTTACAATATTCGACTTGAATTTTTTTTCTAGTCGTATATTTAACGACTCGATAAATTTTCGATAATATAAAAAAGCATATTTATTATAATGGAATTTAAATATTTTCAATTGACGAACGATTTTAACTATTTTAAATTTAATGACTTTAAGAGGAAGATTAAGCGTTTTAACAAAAAGGCCAAAAGGACTTTAAAAGAGAATGTGAGTTGAAAATACATTAATTAATTAATTACCCACGAATTGCTATATCTTATTACATGATTGTAAGAGATCTTATGGGGTGTGGAACTATCAAATCCCTTAATTTAATTTAATTTAATTATTTTTAAAACTAACTAAAAAATTTTAAATAGTGGGATAAGTTAACATCCACGAAATACACAAGACTCTTTATTATCACCACAATAACACAATGCATTGTGATCACTATTCTCCAAGCATTTATATTTTCTCAAAATTTAAAGTTATATTCTGATTGGAATGACAACAACTCAACATTTAACAACATTAACATCACAGACCATCTTCCTGGTTGTAAATATTCGTCTGAAATGATTCCAAAATTTCCATTCATTACTTTGGACAATATTATATTTATATGTTTTCAGCTTTTCCAACTGTATTTTTGTTTTAATGCGGTAAGTATCATATATTCTTTTAAACTAAATATAATATATATATATATATGGATAGAAAATTAACATTATGGAATAATTAGGTGCTTAATGAACATATTGTTCAAATTATAGCGATCAATGTCCTTAATTTTGGATGGTCTATATACGGATTTGTAAGTATATTTTTAATTGATTTTATTTGAATTAAAAAACATTTGAAACGAAAATAAAATTTTATATAATATAATATAATATAATATAATATAGGTTCAAATATATGAAGTTACGAATGTATCATATGAACTTAATAATTTTATTGATTGTATACCACCAAATTCACCAGGTTATCAGAATTTACATAAAAGTCAAGACCACAAAAATCTTTTGATATCTACTGTTATTTGTACAATCCTTATTTTTCTTTATTCAGTCACCGTGGCTTATTTATCTTTTGAGTTGTATGATCAATTTGGGTGGAATATTTACAAAAAATTAGGGGGAGATTTAAGAATACAAGGTAAAGAAAACATCATTTTACGATAACTAATTTCTTATTATATATTATATAATATTTGTATATATATTTACATTTATATTTATATTAATTTTCATACATTCATATAGCAATATACAAGAATTATTTGATCTTTATCATGTTATTAAAACTTAACTTATTTGCCACCATATTGTTTTTGATTGCATCTATTCTCATTTCTCGAATAGACATATTTACAACGATTATAACAACACCACTATTAATATTTCATTATTGTGCAACTGCCTTAGTGCTTATATTGGAAATAGTTGGTTACAAAGTGGTAAATATCGTAATAATAATACTCTAATATACTTTAATATACTATAGATGTTTATATATTTAAGTGTATATATTAATATTGTACTTTTATTTGAATATTATTATTAAGGCCGAACGAGAACATAAAACTGGAATGATATTATTCTTGGTTTTATGGCTTGCAGCAATTGCTGACTTCATATTAGTGTTTGCTGTCTCAATTTATGCGTTTAAAGTGATTGGAAGTTTTTGGATCTCCGGATCAACTCTTGGTAAGTTAAAAAAAAAAAAAGGTTACTATTACTATAATTACTATATTTACTATATTTAACTTTTTAATTTTATTTTCTAGTCATAATATTGATCTTAAACTCTGTAGTATGTAAAACTTTGTTTTTTTTTAATTAGTTAATTAAATTTACAATTTATCTTTAACATTTATAATTTGATCAATTAGTTATTATTAATGTTTGGATTTAAAGTGCTATATAATTTTGGAAATGGATTAAAAGAATCGCGTAAGTTTTAATCATTCAATTAATAGACATATTTAAAAGACATATTATTATAACAATACGTACATTAATTTTTTATATTTCTTTTTTTTAAAAAAAAAGTTATCCCAAAACCAGAATTGAATGGAGTTCCTATAGGCAAATTAGGACAACTTGAGCACATTTGGAATCTTGAATATGATCCGGATAAACCAATTATTGATACATGATTGTTTATTTATTTGAAATTATGGTTTGATAAAGGCGTAAATTTTTTGGTTGTAAATAATTTTTGAATTCGAATTTAAAAGAATTTTTTGAAATTTTTTTTTTTTGAACCTTCACATCAAAAATTCTAATATCGATTCAGAATTTTATTCTCAACCTCTAGTTGTATATGTATAACATTTGTGAATATTATAATTTAGCTTGCAAAAAGAATACTGTATGTATATTATATTTAATAAAATCATATATATTGCTGTTATATATATTTATATATATAGTAAATCTGATCGTGTTTACTAGTAGTATAAGGATCTAGCATTTTTTTTAGCAGAATGTATGCTACTTATAATTCATACGCGTACGTGCTTACATGCTATGTCAATACAAATTGGGATGGGTCTATATTAAAACATATCGGTAACATCAACAATTACTTTAATTCTAAACTTACAGTATTACAATATTACCTTGTTAACATAATTTATTAATTTTTTTTATTTAATTTTCGCGTATTTGCAGTACTTGTTATTGGACATAGTAAATGAAAACACATTTGATACATTTAAAATATTCATCTTTGATAGAAATATAAAATTGATATGATATGTTAATATATATTATTGACTATTTCACAAAGTATTTACAAAAAAAATAATTTCATTCAAAAACAAATCATCCACGATATCTTTCCACCATATAAGTTTTATCGGACTGAAACAAATCCACGTAATTCGTTAAATATAAATAATAAAACACGTTAATATTTGTTTGCAATAAGATATTAAACAATAAAATAACAATAAAACAAAGAAGAAAATATAATCACCTTAATACCACTATTTCCGATCTTTGCCATGCGTCGTAAACCTTCATTATGACTCGTTTTAAAATCTCTATTAAATTTTGGAGACGTAACATGAACTGATCGATTTCTATCAAACTTTGAATTAATAACATTATCATGAAATCCCTCATAATCATTCCAATATGGTGTATGACTATTTTGACTTGGTGGTTCATGATCTACTGGAAGTTTTGTTACCGGACCTAAATACGTACGTATTAGTGACAATACCAAATGCTATTTACGAATGATTTTTAATCATAAATAACATAATTATCTAATATTTTAATAACTTACCAGGCGTAAAAACTATAAAACGACCAGTTGATCCAATTTCTTTTTTACTTTGTTGTTCTTGCCTCATTTTTTTTTACACGTTCAAATGATAATAAAATTCAATTTGAATAAAAAATTTAAGCAAAATTGAATCGGTGTGTGAAATTTAATTTATATACTTTTTGTTTTGACCTTATATATGTACGTGTTACATAATGAGATTGTAATGATCATTAAAAATTGTGTGATAATAATTACATCATAAATGAGTAACGTCATAAATGAGTAACGTGTTGCATTATAACATCTATATAACCGCAACACGTGATCTTGTCTTCACTAACCAAATTTGAGTGTTTGCTGAGCTATATTTATTAGTAAACTTTAAGAAAAGATAACTTGGCAAATACCAAACCAAATTCGATATTTTAATTCTACAAATTTTGTGGGAAAAAAAATTTATTGAGTTTAATTGGATGGTTGCCCGAGTTAACTTCATTCAAAGGTTTTAAAAAATCTTTCGCGCTATTATCTTGATAGGCATTTTAAATTTTGAACAAAGATAACCCGGCAATCATTTAACCAAAAAAGTCCATTAAATTTGGCTAGTTTGTTGCTGCCTATCAAAATAATAGTAGCGGCAAAATTTTGTGTGGATATAGCTCTGGAATCACCCAACTAAATTTGATAAAAATTTTTTATGTGTGATTATCGTTATACTCTCTAGGTAGGATGAATTTGGTTAGTTGTTGCTAAGCTATCTTCTCAAAAATTTGGGTGCCGATAAGAAGATAGGGTCACGTATTGGTGTAGGTATCAATTCCCATACTGTATAATAACTAACCGTTATGAGTCAGAAGCATAAGATTTTGTTTTTTTGTGTAGAAAGGTAAATAATTACAACTCACTCTTATTATAGTGATAAATTTCTTTAAAATTTCTAAAATGTAGTAGTATTAAGTTTTAACTCGATATAATAAGCTCGTGATGTACAGCCAATCAGGGATGCGGAAGCGAACAGACAGAATGCACGTGACAGTGTCGATCAAAGCCTGACGTAAAGAACGAGTGTATTTCGGACAATGAAAATTTAGTCATATGACGTGTTACAATAATTTGACATACTGTGAAATTAACTAACGATTTAAAGGATGTGTACTTTTTTTGGGGGATAGTATTTTATACAGAACAATTAAAACAAATAAAACAAATTACAATGAATAAGTTACAATGAATTTGTATCGATGTAGCAATAATAATAATGTACATTCTAAGCAATAATAGTACAATTTGTGAATTTGTTTTCTGTCCAAAAAGTAATGTACATGAATGCGGTTTTTTTTTTGAAATGTTTGACATGTATTTTTTTTCTTAATGATATAATTTTTTTTTTTTTTGATATGTATATTTCTTTTCTTAATGATGAGGCTTATTAAAACTATACACATCTTGTCAGTTCTGTCCATCTTGTCCATTTGTTCCAAAGCCATTTGTGTTTAAGCTTCCCGGAATGTTAAAGTTTGCATTATTTTGAATACTTGGATCATAATAGTTATTAACGTTAGAATATTGTAATAAATCGACACCTTGATTTGCCATAGACAACCAGTTTAAATAATCATCAATTTCTTGCTGCCACGTTTCATCACGACCAAGAGTCAAGGACATTAGTGGATTGAATGTACCATCATCAGAGGGAATAGAAGGATCATTTTCAGTAATTGATGTAGTTTGTGTAGTCAGTGGATTTACACAGTCATCCTGTTTTTTGCGATCAATCTTGTTTTTCTTGTTAGTCCACTCCGAACCATGATAATAAAAATCTCCAAGTTCTGTAGAAGAGCCTGCTTCTTGTTGCACGCGTTGAATGCTAATGACAGAAGGAACAATAGAAATCACATTTCCATCTCTTCTATAACTTCTGTTGGAACGTTCTCCTCGTGTTTGGTTTGGTACAAAAGGTCTAAAACCAAATTGGGGTTTAGGACGAAAAAGATTAACATCACTTGTAAATTTTTTGAATTCTTTTTGGAAATCTTTACAAGCTTTCCACATCTTTCCAGTGAGCTTGGAAATATCTGGATTTTTGAACCGATTTTTTCGTCTATAGTCTGCGATTAACTGAAAAGTGCATTGAATGAACATCCTAAAAAGGGGATAGGGATTAATATCCCTAGATTTTTCATTAAGTTTAACTTTTCTTGCATCGGGTAAAGTACACTGATAAATTTTATCCTCAATAACAAACGAAATAATGTATTGACTATCATCATCAGTTTTATACATAAGAATATTAAATTGTTTTCCATCTAATTCAGTAACCTTAATGATATTGAATAACGTCTTTAATTGTGACATTGTTGAAAAGAATGAAGGTTAAAGAAAAAGATGGTACTTGAATACTCGAAATAGAGCGCACAGAGTTTTTCAGTAGTAAATGAAGCTCTAAAAAAAAAAAAAAAAGACAATAAAAAGAACACAATCATTTTATATCGGCCCTTTTACAATGAAACAAATAATCCCTTTTTTTATTTATTTATTTATTTTAATAAATGTTCAATAAATGCTAAACGGGCATTGCTTAGTTTAATTGGTGCAAACTTAACTTAAAGAAGTTTTATATTTCATTCATTTCATACCATTAAGGGAAAAAAGAATGAAAGCATTTTCAGACCATTAAGGAAAAAAATATAGAAGCATTTTTAGACCAGTTATAGAAGGCGAACAAAGATATAATCAGTTATGGAAGGCGAACAAAGATATAATCAGTTATGGAAGGCGAACAGAGTAATCAGTTATGGAAGGAGAATAAGGAGTAGCTTGTCCGCAGTACTTGAATAGAAAAGTAAAATAACGCGTAATTATAATTTGTTAAGCTAATACCATATATTTTACTAAAATAGTCAAACAAGTGCTTGTTTTTAATACAAATTTTGACGAATTTACGCGTCTGATAAAAAATTTATTTTACTTTATTTATTTTTTTTTTAAAAAAAAAATTCTACAATTATAAAAATAAAATCTTTCTGGGTCATTCGTTAAATGTTCCCTCTTTTTATATTTAATGAAAAGATAAAGAGCATAACATTAGAATCTTCGACTCTTTGATCTTGATGAAGGTTCTTTATTAATGCAGTGGCCACACATGAACGCACGACCAAGGGGCAAATTATTTATCAAATTTATACTAATAAGGAGATATGAATAAGGCGAAACATGAAACAAAAGAATCCTTTCATACATCCTATTTTCGTCGCAAGATTCCATTCAAATTGCTTATTTTGTATATATTTGAAAGAGATTTTGTGTATCTACTTCTTGCAAATCTTTAAAACCTTTGTGTTTATATAGTATTCTAAGAAGAAAATAAGAGAATTAGGTATACCATTCATTTTTTATTCAATTTTCCTTTTTGATCTTATGTAAATAAAGTTTTAAGGTTCCGGTAACGGTAACATCTAATCAAAATTTTAATAATGTTACACAATTGTATAAATCACATGTTTCTTATTTTGGCTTCATTTAACGTTTAATTCCTGGTTACTGGTTTTTATAATTAATTAAATGACAAATTTATACGTATATGGTTATCAATTTGTAATCTCGGAATTGGTCTATATGCTGAAACAAAGTCTCGGAGTCAAATTACGTTTAACACTGTTGTACATCCTCGAAAACGTAAATTAGAACGTACGTGTGGAATCATGTTATTACCAATTACCTGTTACATATCTGATATGTATATACGTACGTACGGTTGGCAAAAAAAAAAAATTTCCATCAAATCATTTTCCTATAACTTGTCTTTATCTTAACACGATATAATTGATAAGTCTATGCTAATTCATATGAGTGCCGCCAAGGGAAAACCTGTCGTAGGAGTTTCGTCTTTAGACGTCAATTGTACACAAAATATAATTGAAACTCCTACGACAGGTTTTTCCTTGATGATACTCATATGTGCTATTGCTATTATATTTTCGTACGTACGTACGTCCATCTAAACCTGTATTACTGCAACACAACGATTCTTGAGCATATAATAAAGTAGTACTATACGTACGTACGTGTACGATTAAGCAAGGTAGTATTGTATGATAGAGCATATTTGGACAGACGTATATACATACAGACGTACATATACGTATATACAGTACATACATACGTACGTACGAAAAGTATGCTAATCTTGATATTTAATAGCACGTACGATTAAAAAAGTTTAACCTTTCTTAAGCATTTTTCTTAAAGCTTGGTAAATAATTTTTTTCAAACGAAATTCTTTCGTATTTTCTTAATGCTTCCACAGCTGTTTCAATCGTACTGTACTGTTTTATGCTTAAATCAAGGAGTATATACAGTAATAAAGTAGTACAGTAATGACAACGCAAATTAGGACGGATGTGTAAAAATCTTAAAGTGCGTGAATCTAATCTTGACAGAAATAGATGATGTTAAAAAGTTTTATTTTTTATTTCGTTAAATGAATGTCTACATTTCATTTTCCAAATTTTGATACACAAATAAGATTTTTTTAAACTCCCTTAATACATGCGGTTTGTAAAAGAATAAATTCGTAAAACAAAACCTACTTTTCTTACTACCTACCTGCCTTTAACAAAATAAATATCATCCTCCCTAACCATAATCATTAAAAAGGATTACTCATAAAAATTGAATTTTACGAGTCTATATTAATAGTACGTTGTGAAAGGTCTTTTCTAGAATAAATTTTTTTTTTTTTTTAAGAGTGAGGCCTGGCCTCAGTCTTTATTGAACAATTTGGTATTACATTAATAAAAATGTTTTACATGAATTATTACATAAACCTATAGCTAGAACTAGATTATTCTCAGCCCAAAATTCTACTAAAGTAGGCTGTCAGACCTCTTCTAGGTTTAGTGTTGCAATGTAAGATGTAGATATGTTAGTAATAAGGAAAATGGTTGCCTATTTTCATATTTAGTTATGGTTAATTAATTTGTAGCTAAATGTTCAGATGTTGTGATCATTAAAGTATTTGTTAGTAAACTATTTTAATGTACTGTTTTTTTTCTCTTAAGCAATCATGCTAGTACTTTATTAAGAATTTGAAATTACAATTGCAATTATATAAATATTTTTAACAGTTAAGTCTAGCATTACTTGGTCATCTTACTGATATCTAAATACAACCTGTTACATTACTTCAAACAGAAATAAGCTACTTGTTAATTACTTAAAGTCCATAATAAAAGAGTCTTTTCTCTTTTATGACAAGTCTCAAAATTGTCTTCTGTATTTCTTGTTTTTCTTTTTCTCTTATTCTTTTTTTCTTTTTTTTTACTTTTTACTAATTTGACTTTTTTTTTTTTACTTGATTCCAACTTTTTTTTTTCCTTTCTCTTTTTAACCTATCTGTTATTTCTACTTTTTTCTTTTATTCATTAATTTTCTTATATCAAGCTTTTCATATTTGTTCATAAAATGTATTCTAGACTATACTTGTTATTACATTTGTAAACTGTTGTCTTGATTTTATGTTTAGGAATTGCTATAACTGGTTCTATATTTTTTTTAGAATTAGGCCTTTAATTAGTATCTTTCTTATTTTTATTTTTTCTGTTTCTGTTTTTTCAAAAAAAGCAGTATATAACACATATAAAGGAATTCAGTTTTTTTTTTCTTCTTTTAGTTCTTTTTAGGCTGTTGCAATGATTATTTTCTGAATCTTTTTTTACAAGTTTTTTTGTTCTTTATATGCTGTCAAGTATGCTTATGTTTCTTTAGTTTTATCTTAACATACTTGGTATTTTGTTATTATATACACATCTGATTTTCTCTTATTAAATTTTTTTAAAGTCAAAAGTTTATCTATTAAATATTTTATAAATGTACTTCTTCTGGTACTAATTCTTTCTGTTATATAATATATTCTTTTAGTTATCTTTGTCTTTTCCAAAAAAATATTCAATCATAAATTATAACTTCTGATTCTGATTCTAAGTCTTTAATCACTCTTGTTTTTTTCTACTCTGCTTCTAATCTTATATTCATTATTAATTTACATAGCAATATTGCTGATATGTCAGTTCATTTGTTTTTTTTATTTTAAGCAGTACTCTATCTCTTTACAACTAACTTTTTTAATCTAAACTATTTTTTTGTTCTTTGTTTTATTTTTCACTAAACTATTAGCTTTGTCATTTCATTTATCTTTACTATGATTTTTTATTTTAACTAATTTTAACTAAATGTTTTTTGTTGTAATAAGGTTTCTAATCTTTATTATTTATATTGTGTTCTTCTTTTTAAGAATTTTATTTATATTTGTTTGTTTTAAACCTCTACTAATATTTCTTATTGCAGCATTACAGTCTGTATATATTTCCAATTGTTTCTCTTTGATATTATTAAGATTGCTACTCATATTGTTGCTAGCTTGGTTATCATTAATGTTTGCTATCCTTCTAGACCTAATGCTATTTCTTCTTTTGATCATTCTTGTGTTTCATTTATTTGAACCCATCTTATATCCATTGTATTTTTAGTTACTATATCTTTTTTGACCTTTATGCTTGTTGTATAATCTATGTATATTATATAATTATTCTTGTTTCTTATTATATTTCCTTTTAAAATTTTTATTATTTCTTAATTGATATTCCCATTTAACTTTTGTTATTTAATAATTTTTATTTCTAATTTTTCTATTATTCTAATTCTTTCAAGTTTCTGCTCTTCATTTTTTGGTTTATTCATCTTTATTGTTTTTGTTATTTGATCTATTGCTATATTAATTTTGTTATTTCTACTCTTTATTAACACCTTAGAAACAAAGATATGGTGATCTAGTGAAGTGGATAGGTTGTTAACTCTTAAGTGGCAGGTCTAAGATTCAATTCCTATAGACAATGAATTTTTAAAATTATACCTATGTTATGATAACTGTCTCTTACCAATCAGTTGGGTTTTGGGCATTTGTAATTTTAGATATACCAAGTCAGGTCCCATTTGATATTGGAAGCTCAGAGCATCTATGCAAAGTGTAACATTACACATATATAGAAGAATGTGAAAAACTGATGTTGTATAAGGCAATGCTGTTCACTGGAAACTGAAACTTCTACTGGATATCCAAATTTTTCTAGCATTCTAGTGGTTCTAATTAAAATTTTTTTTATTGAAACAAATATTATATCAACTAATCAAAACACAAAATACAAAAAGCAGAACTATAATCATGTATATCATATCAATATCAACTAATCAGAAAACAAATATTACTAGTACATATTTATAGTAAATTTTTTTATTTATTTAATTCTTTTAATTTGTAATGGTAATATGAATAAAAAAAAAATAAATCTATATATTTTAAAATTTAATTTAAATTTGATTAAACAGAATTGTGTTAGGTTATACAAATTAAATTAATTGTTTTTCATTACATGGAATAAGCTAACAGGACCTGGTTAGTCAGAAAAAATGTTATAATTAAAAAATGATTTCATATAAAAAAAATTTATAAATCTTTTTTTAATACAAAAATAAAAAATTTTATGCATATTGAAAAGTTACCTAGCCAGGTAATAAAACCAATTTTATTTGTTTGCATGGCCTTACTTATTTTAAATAGGGTTCAGTTAGAAATGAATATTTATTAAATATTCAATAATTAGTTATACAATGTTCATAAGAGTGTAATTGATATAATTGATTTATTTATATTTATTCAATGTTATTCAAGAACATCAAAACCTGCAAATATTACTAAATAACTATGGATATTTAAAAGATTCAACCTTTAATTTTGTATATAATCTGTATTTGTAGTATAGTTAAAATTGAAAGCTTCAGATAAATTTTCTATTAAATATTTTACAAATGAAGTTATAAGAATTATAATAAATAAATTTATTATTAACATAATATTAAAAGCTAACTATTAGAATTCATATAGCTTGGTTTTTTGAAAAGTAGACCAAATAGATGCTCAACTTCTACTTTGCTTTAAGGTCAATTGCCAGATACATATAATTATTTAACAAATCACTATTTATAATATATTCTACATTTTTACATTTTATTTCTTTTTCTTCTAACATAGCAGTTTCTTTATTAATTAACATTTGCTCCTACTTTTGTAATCTATTTTTCCATGTCATTGTATTTGATATATTAGTTCCAGTATTTTTTCTGGAATTATTTACTTTATTCAATTTATCTTGATCATTTAATTTATTTTATTTAGTTTGTTTAGGTTCAACACTTTAATATGCTAAATTATTAAAAGGTTTGTATAGTTTTTTTCATTGAATAAAGTTAATTAAAGCATGAATTTGGCACATGGCTAACACTTTTTATTTTACAATTTAATTAATTTTGTAAAAAAAAAATAAATAAAATAAATTAAAAACAATATTGTAATTGAATATAATGATTTACAATAATATTTACTTGGAAATAATTTCATCAGTTAGTATAAATAAATTCTATTGAACTCCATTAGTATTGAAAATTTGTTTTGAAATTTATATTCTTATAAGAACACAATTATTTAATTTGATGTTCTCAAAAATATTTTTATGCTCTTAATATCAAAAATTTCTGTTGCCATTTTTTGAAAATTTTCAGATAATATTAGTAATTTATTTAAATTTTTATCTTAAACTTGCTTGTCTTTTATGTTTATTTATTTTCTTTCCAGAATTTTTTAAAATTTATTTATTTTCTAATTGTCAATTTTATTTGTATTATAGTATATAAAGAACATATTTATCAAACAATATGTTCTCAAAAATTTTTTTATAGAGAACATGTTCAAAGTAACAAATATTCTCAAATTCAAAAGTATGTTTTTTTAAGAACATAAGAACATTAGATTTCCTACACTAAACTTCATAATTATTCTACAGATGCTGCATTAACAGAAATTCCAAATAACTGTACAGCTAAAGGTTCTAATTCTTTAGTTGAAAAGAAGATGAATTCCTAAAATTCTAATGCATTTTTTTTAAATTGTTTATATATAAAATGATCAAATGAATATTTATATTTTCTATATTTTTCAAACTCAAGTAGAATACAAGTTGGTTGATGCTCAAACTATGCTTTATAGTAATAAGTAATGAATTGAGCAAAATATGTAAAGTTTAAATTGTCAGTATTATTTTGAACTAAGTATCATAGATACTTGAATTTAAAAGAAAAACCAATAACAATAATGGTTGCTCCTATTGCTTTCATCTTTGTTTGAGCTATAAGATTATATGATCTGCTAAATTTTCATTAGAATATTCTTCTTATATTTTTAATATTTCACCAAAAGATTGTAGTACTTCATGAAGATGAGCAGTATCTGATTGTAATTTATTAAAAACTTCACAATAAGAAAGTTGCAATAAGTGCAACAAGTTTACAGAATGCCAAAAATTATTATTAAACAGAATTAATGTTATATTTCATGAAAGATAAAGTTTATCTAAGTTGGTTAAAGGTTGATCTAATTCATCATTTGAACTTTGAGTTAAACTATTCAAAACAAGTTCATGTATAGTAGCTAAATTTTTTTTTTAAAAAAAAAACCAAAAATTAATGAATTAAGTTATTAGAACCTTCATATTATAAAAAATAATAAAAAACAATTATATTATTTTATTAACTTCAGAATTAAACTATTATATCTAGATTAGTAACTGTGAATCAAATTTTCTTATTATATTATAATTATAGTAGGTATAATTTAAGTTTTATAACAAATTTTTTTTAAAAAATATAATGCTTACTCTCAAAGCCTGACAGAATTTTATCAAACTTTTAAAGCAGTAGAAATAAGAATTCTAACAAGTATCTGCTAAGCAAACTAAGGTAATACATGTTTTATATACTTGAAATTGTATATCTTGAAGTTTTTTAATAAAGTGTGAATTAATAGCATAATTAAAATATGAAACTATTTTTAAGACCTGTTTGGATGTAACTTTGAATTTATTAGATTCTTTAAAGATTTCTCCTACAGCAAAATTACATTGATGAGTAAAGCAAAATAGAAAAATGATTTTTGAATATAGTAATCTTAACTGATGTCTGTTTAAAATATTAATTTTTTGTTAACTAATAGTTTATTATTAAATGATCTAAAATTTTTAAACAGATTTTTTTTTCTTAATATTTATGTTTTTTTTTACTTAATTAATTTATTTTTTTTATAAAATTTTATCTAGCACCAGAATATGCTAGAGCACTATTAGAAACAATAGCAGATAATTTGGCATCTAGATTTAATGCTTTATTAATCTTAGATTCAATTTTAGAAATACTTTCAATCATATGTTCTCTCTGAGCTTATGTCGATTGCTTTTTAAATTAAAGTTTCTCTAGTTAATAAGATAAATAAGAATCTGAATATATGTTGTTTTAAAATATTTTTCTATCTATTAAATACTAAAGTAATTCTGATATTATTCTTTTTTAGTTTTTGTTCACAGAACTGGATCAAAGTAGTCTTTTTAGCATTAAGAATATAATTAGATAAAGCATACTGACTAGGAAGAATAAGTTTTAACTTTAAAAATTTAAAGAATTCTAAAGTAGCAGATCTGTTGTCTATCAAAAAGACTATCTATTTGAAATTGTCATTTGAAGTAACAGCCTTTTAAATTTTGGTTTCTTCTTTATAGTAATGCTTTGAACAATGAAGTTTGTTACAGAAGTTGATGATAATTTTTGTTTGCTATTGCAGTTAGATACTGTAAAAGTTGTAGTACTACTAGTCATATCACTTGTGTTATTATCATCTTATTATTTAAAAAAAAAACTTTTATTTTTTTTTTTTGGTATTAAGGTGACCTCTTTGGTCTTTTGACTTTTATTAATCACTTATCAGTATTGTGGTTTAATGAACCACTACAGGAGAGTGTACAATTGGCTATACATGTAACTTTTCTATATTATCTATTGAAGGAGTCTGCCTGAAGGTTCTCCACCAATTGCTGTACCTAACACCCCTGCTTGGGTGTTCCACTTTAAACCCTTTGAACCTGTAATCTGTATTAACATCACTGATCATTTCAGATGTACCAGCTTATCATCCTCAACCTTAGAACTAATTTATTCTTGAAGTAAACCCCTCAGAGCCTTCTGTACCCATTTTTACAGCTGACCTAGGTATTGCTATGGCAGAACCAACACTTGTGGTCAGGGCTAATCATTAAACCACTATGCCCTTGTAGAGTTTACTTAAACTCCAGCATCTACTTCACAGCATAACCCTGATACTTTAGTATACCTCTGCCTTTTCCCCTGCCCGTTTACCAAACTCCCAATCCAGATAGCCTGTGTAGGACTACAACTAGTCCATCAGTATATCAGGTCGGCCCAATATCTTTTTCCTCTAGTTCATTCCAGTGGCCTGGTTGGTAATACCTCTGAGACTCCCAACTTGGAAGTTCTTGCCCATTCGGTTACTAGGACTGGGTACTAGACCTGGGTATTTGTTTCCCCGAGCTAGTCTTTATAGTAGGGCCATTGAAGATCCAGCTACCTCTCTACTCATGTCTTCCCAAATGAACTTCTTGTTACCCAATTTCAACGGATTTACACAAACACAAGGACTTATCTAGTGTTTGCACTGCCCGATTTGTCAGTTTGCATTCCTCCATGTAACTTCAACATTCCACGGATGCCCCATGACCTTCCAGTCATGCTGGTGTGACTGCCATTACAGGTATCCTAACCCAATCGTTAGTAACAATTGCCATAATACAAATATTACATAGATGATTATCCAAATTTTCACTATCGATGGGATTTGAACACCCAACCTACTACTTGGGGGGTTGACAACCTGACTACTTCAATAGGTCACCACACCCTGTTACTATAATTCTTATTAGTCATAAATTACATTTTTATTAACAAAATTATCGAAATAGCAGATATAGGTGTTATTTTGAATTTTGCCCTAATTAAGCTTAATTCAGGTAAAATTTGAAATAACACCTATACCTGCTATTTTGATAATTTATAGTAAATAAAACATTTAATAGTTTCTTACCTTAAGCTCTAAAATGCATTTGTCTTAGAATGAATTAAATAATCAGGATTATTGCCACTATATATCATTTGTCTTATAATATTTGAAGTTCTTGGGATTATACTTGTTAAATTTATATTATTCAACTTATTCCTTGATATCAAGCATTTTGGGCATAGTTTTCTGAAAGAAGATGGTTGGTAAACATTTGCAAACTTGTACACTTCAGCTAAGTTGGCAATAATGATTAATATTCATAGAATGAAGGTGATTATATTATAACTATAATCTTTAGTTGTTTAAACAAAAAACTAGCTAAGACTATATACTTATTTATTCTGTTTATTTGCTCCAAATATTTTTTCTACTGATTGTTAATTAGCAAACCTATACTTAAATCTTTCTTTTTGTTTAGACATGTATTTGTTTAAAAACTTTTATATCTTTCTAATTTTTTTGTTAAAAAAAACTCCTCTTTAGCTAAGTTATTTGGTTCTGATAGTTCTACAATATTTAATTTATTATCTATTATCTATTCATACAGTAATTCTATTTTTTGACTATTTAATTTAAGGCTATTAATGTTATATATTACTAATTTAAGCTCAATTTTTTTTTTCATATATTCTTTTTACATGTGTTCTACTGTGTATTCTTAGTTTCTAGTTATGTTTTTTTTTTTCTTTATTGTTTTCTTTTTAATAACTTCTTTTTATCTTTTCTAGGATTTTTTTTTAGATATAGAGTGTTTTCTTGTGGTATTTCTGTTTTAGTTACTTGACTTTATAAAGAGAAGCTTACCTTTATATCTGTTAACTTCAGATTAACTTTAGTAACTATTAGGAATAATTTGCCAGTTTTTATTTTACTACTGTATTATTATCTTCTTTTTATGTTTCTAACTTGTTGAGTCTGCTAAGTATTCTAAACAACAAACTTTCTGTAGATGTTTTTTTGTTACTTTTTTGAACTTTTTTGGTTGTTTTTTTTTGTTTTATCATTTTTTTTCTTCTTTTTTTATATTTGTATTATATTTTTTAAGTATTAATTTCTTTTTTCTCATCAATGTAATCTTTGTAATTATTTTTGTTTTCTCTCTTGCCTTTCTTTTTATCTTATAGTCTTTTCAAAAAACTGTGTAGTTATTATATCTTATCAGTTTTGACTGTGCTGCTTCTAACTCTTTCTGGCTTGCAAATATAATTATTACAAATCTTTTAAAATTATTATTTTGCTTGCTGAAATATATACAGATTTTGCACCTTTACTTTTTAAACTATGCAAAAGCAACACCTTTGAGGCTTCTTTAAGAATCTTTAGTAGTTTTGCTATAAAGAGACTTAGTCTATTTTTTTGTTCATAATTTTTTTTCTCTAAGTTATTTAAACTAAATTATTATTATTTAATAGTAATAACTATAGAGTGTAATTATAGTTACTGCTTGTAACCTCAATTACTGCAAGCACTTTAAATTGTATTCTTTTGATTTTTACTATATATATATTGTTAAGACTTCTACATATATACTTTATTTTTTTATACTTAACAGATTTCAGATTATTATATATCTTATAATTTCTATCTTTTTTTTTCTCTTTTTACTAAAACAAGATGTTTTTGTTTTTTATTTAAGATATAGATTAAATTTCTCTTTTTGTGAACTTAAGGTTACTTAATATCTCTTTTTGTATTTTGGTATTGTTGCTTTTTTATTTTCTTTAAAATAACTTCTTTGAAATAAGATTACACTAGTCTCTTTTTTTTTTCTTAATAAGTTTACTTAATGTTCTTTTACTATACTTATAGTTAAAATCTGTTACTACCTAACTGCTGCCACATTGAAATTTTTCTTCAATTGTCTAAATATGTTTATTTTTTTTAAGAACCTATTTCATATAATTGGTTTGGTATTTTTTAGTTTTTTCTGGTACTTTAAAAAATAAGATTTTTACTTTAAAGAAAAAACTCTCATTATATGTTCTGTTTTTAGATAACCAGAGATGGTTCTCTAATAAAGCTATTATGGTTTGATTTTTATTTTCTTTTGCTTGGTTATTTCTTTAATATTTTGAATTATGTTTTCTTATGAGGTTTTCTAATTTTTTTTATATTTTTTTCTCTTATTATTTCTATAAGATTATTTTTAATTACTAGTAACTCTTTGTCTTTATTTGTTAGTTTTGTTTGCTATATTATTACTTAATAACTCTTTGTATTTGGTGTTTTAATTTATTTTAAGTCTTTGTTTGCTTTTGTATTTACTATTATCATATTCTTTATTTGTCATCTTTTCTTAAATATTACACTAAAATAATTTTCTTTTTCTCTATTATTTTTCTTAATCCTTTTTATTTTATTTTTTTCTTTTTTAATTTCTTCTTTGTTTAAACTTAACATATAATCAACTAAATCTAAATTTTGACTTGCTATCTTTATTTTACTTATTCAATCCTCAATAGTTTTTTATTAGTATTGTTTTAATTTCTTTTGCTATATATCTCAAGACTTCAAGAATTTGGCTATATAGTAGAAAATCTTTAGTTGTAATTTTTTGTAAGTTACTAAAAGCTAAGTTTTTTGTTATAGTTTTCAAGTCACTTGGTTCTTTAGTCATAGATGTTTTAAGAACATGATTTAGTTTACTGTTATTTAAATATCTATACAGTTTGTTACCTGTTCTCTACACCTGCTAAATTAGGCTTTGTTTATTGATCATCTTTATTTAATTACTTTATTTGCTTAATCTATTTCTGTATTTTTGTTGTTTAATTATCTATTACCTAATTTAAATCTATACATAACTTAGTTTTGTTATTTTTTTCTGCAAATTATTACAAATTTCCAAAAATAGAACATGTTTGCTTGTTTGTTTTTGTTGTTTACTGTTTTGATTAATTACATGCACTTAATAAATTTCTGAAATAATGCAATGTCTACTTTTTGTTAAAAAAATTTTTAGAATAAAATAATATTTTTTTAAATAATTTTTGTTTACAAAAAGAAGTAAAATTTATATTAAGATAAAAAAAAAAACTGAATAAACAAAATCTATAACCTTTTAAATATTTTAAAAAGAACAAATCAATTATGTTTAGAATAGATACCTGTTAATTAGTCTATATAAATTAAGAATAACAAATAATTTGTTTGTTCTTTACTAGGATTGCCAACTATATGCTAACAACTAGACTGTAATTAGTTACTTGTAACTTTTGAATTTTCAATAATATTAAATTTAATAAATATTAAATCCAATACTAGTTTCAAAAAAATTATATTACTAAAGGAAACTTATACTATTATTTTTAAATTTTTATTGATTTTGTTTGTTTTAATGATCTTTAGAAAAAAGTTTTTTAACTATAATAAAAACAAAAAAAAACTTATATTAAAGAATAAAAATTTATACTAATTTATTTACAGTTTAAATCTATTAAAGAGATTAAAACTTATCTAAATTTAAATATTTAGTATATAATTTGATAATATACTATATTTGACTTATAAAATAAACCAAAATTTAATTTTATAAATTGGTTAGTCAATAAGAAAATATATGTTTAAATAAATATATAATTGATTAAGAAAAAGGATGATGATTTTAATATAGTGATTAGTTTATTATTTTTCAAATAACAGATCTAAGGTTCAAATTCTATTTATGATGAAATTTGAAAATTAATCTATATTATAGAAAACTATATATAAAAGAATATTAATAACTAATGTTGTATAAGACTTTGGTGCAAATTTATGATAAGACCACCAGATGCAGAAGACTAAAAAACTAAGAAAATAAAATCTCATTTAGAAATTCTTAAATAAAAGATAGCACAGATCTTTGATGATGCTAGTGAATTAATAAAGATTTAGAAAACCTCAATAAAAAATAGGTAAACATCTGAATAACAAGATATATAAAGAAACATATAACTAACCAGGCCACCAAAATTGATAAAAAAAAAAGATACCAAAAATATACTGTACTAGGTCATCTGAATTGAAAATTTGAAAAATCTATCAGATTCTAAGTTGGATAGTAAAAGAATAAAAAAAAGAAATTAGAAAGATAAATATCAGAATTTAGGTAAACTTTATAAAAATAAAAATAGTATAACATAGTAGTTAAACAGGTAATCCTTATGATTGCAAGTATTAGATAACTATAATGTATTATATAAAACTAGGTTAGCTATATATAGAATATAAAAGCTCTAGTAATAATGCTTCTAAGAATATATTGCATAAAATAAGATATAAAGTTCTAAAGGTATAAATCAAGCATTTAGACCTTCTTGACTAATATATATACTAAAAATAATCTAGTAAAACAGTAAAAAGTGCAGTACAAAAGGTTTAAATAAACAATGCTACTAATTTGGTTATAAGTATGACAGCTAGTATAGAACTATTGATAAACTACTTAAATTAGACACCAAAAATGTACATATATTTAGTTGTACTCTCTAATGTAAAATAACTTTTTTGAGGCCTTGAACATGAGTTTCTATGTTCTGACTACTGAATAAAAACCCTAATCTTAAAAAAAACTAATTTAATATAAAAATAATAAAATAATTATTAAGAAGCTTACAAAAATATAAGTAAATGTAATTTATTTAAAAACATATATATTTAATAATTAAATTGTAAAATGACTAATAAGCTAAAATAAAAGTTCATTTTGTTACTTTTTTTAGTTATAAATAAATACAATATATTTTTATAATTGTTTATATAATTACTTATTAATGTTAAGAAAAATATTAATAATAACTTAAAAAGCAGTTTTGTATAAAATATTAAAATTTTAAATTATTAATATAAAAAACTTAAAATAAGTTTTTTAAGAATAAGACTAGATAAAATATGTTAAACAATATACATAAGAAATTAAAAATTATATAATAAAAGATTTTGTTAATTATATGGTAACTTGAGATAGTTGATAAGTTGTTAATTCCCAAATAACAGATCTAGTATTCAAATCCCAACTATAATAAAATTTGAAAATTATATCTGTGTTATACAAAACTGTTTCTTGATAATCAGTTAGATTGACATATCTGTAATCTTAAGTACATCAAATAAATTAAAAACTCAAAGCATCTATACAAAATGTAATATTACATGTACATAGAGAAATGCTTACCCACCCGGTTATTAAAATATATAAAAAAAGTTTTGCATGGCCTAATTACTAATTATTATGTATTAATCATCATTAATCATTACATAAGAAGTTTTCTGCATACCTGTATATTACGACACGCTCATTGTCAGCTTTAAATTGACATAATATTAAATTGAAATTTTGTATATCAATTCTGAATTTTAAATTAACATAAGTCAATTTAGAATTGACGACTATTGAACTTTGACGCACAATATACATATATATAATTTAATAACGATTGTTTATTATAATAACAAATCATCTAACAGGTTATGTGAATGTCATATCACAAGGTTCTCTACGCATTTACATACCCCAAAATAGAAGTCCCTCACTAAGTTTTAAACAATAATCTTCTATAAACAATCTACCCATTCTCCAACCAAAGAAACAGATTTACAATCACCAACTGCGATCTTTTCATCTTGTAAAGCCTTACCAACACACAACCACGGATCCCGAGATCCACCCCATCGTAGTACCTCATCTCGGAACCTTTGTCCTGCTTCTCTTTTTAACGGATCTTTTTCAAATACTTGTTTCCACAATTTTCCCGCTAATATTCGACAAAAAAGGTAACTATAATACCCTGCTCCATAACCAAATAAATGCCCAAATTGAATTTGCCATGCAGTTCCGGGAACTGAAGGAAATAATCCAACAGTATCCTGAAGGTTAGCTAAAATAACTGTAGTATCAAAGTCAGGAGACATGGCCAACGTGGAATGATAAATTTGGTCTAATAATGCCATTAGAATTTGATATTGTGTCTCCATTGCTGAAAATTGGGTGCGTGCTTTAAGATGTGAATTAATAAGGTCTATCGGTATGGGCTTTCGAGTATCATAATGTTTTGCAAAAAGTGCTAGTACAGTAGGTGAATAAACAAAATGCTCCATTAATATTGAAGGTAATTCCACAAAATCTGTTGGGCATCTAGTACCTTTTAAAAATAATATAAAATTAGAAGGGTAATTTAGAGTTAAGAAGAATGATAACATCGAAATAATTTGATCAAAAAGAAACGTAAAATAAGCACACATGTATTTACCAGAAACATTGTGAAAATCTGTACGTCCGATCATTGCTAATAATAAAATAAAGAATATTTAATTCTGAAATTTTTTATAAAACTAAACATACTAATATTATTCACCCACAATGCATGGCATGCCCCATTTCATGGAAGAGAGTCTCAGCTTCGACTAAGCTTAATAGGCAAGGTTTACCATCTTTTGGTTTCGAAAAGTCACATGTAAGCACAATGATAGGTAATTGATATCTTCCGTTCCTACCATGAAGTCTTACTCCTTGTTCTGGTGTTGCCAATTCTCCTATTTCCGAAACATCAATATCAGACGGAATATCTCCGATGCTGTCGTCGTCATCAACACGTCTAGAACATCTTACAGTATAATGAGCCGCGTTTAAATATTTACCATATCGATTAAAAAGATCACAATAAATTGTTCCTATCTTTCCTTCTTGTTCATCAATTACATTAAGCTTACGAACATCGTCATGCCATGTTTCTCCAGGTAATATTTCAGAAGGTTCAAACGAAATACCGTATAGTTTGGAGAACAGTCTTGATAAGCCTTGAATCACAGAACCAACAGAAAAATAAGGAGATATGGGGATCATGGGTTGCGTTGAAGAGGCCTTAACTTTTTCAGTATAATAGTCCCGATCCCAAGCATTAACGGTTGGTAATTCTTTGCGCTTCATCTCTTGCCGTTTGGCTTCTTTCAGAAGGTAAAGGTCAGCAAGAGCCTTTGGTCTATGATGATCAGCAAGTGTTCTTAAAAATGTTTGTACATTATCTGTAAAATAAACGAAACGTTGTGAATAGCAAATTTAATAATGGTAAATATAATTTAGACGAAACTCATACCAGGATTTTTTATCATCTTATCTATAAGAAAGACATGACTATAACTATCCATTCCTAGCAATCTTGCTAACTCTCCTCTTGTACGCAACAAATTCTCCAGTAAATCAGTTTGTTCTTTTGTGGCCGAATTAGAAGCAATGAACATTTCCTTTCTGATATTTTCGTCTTTAATAAGTTTCAAAATCATCTGAGCCTCCCAAGGCTTAGTGGATAATCTAGCAGTATCGCCATTCTTTGTGGAATATCCATCAAGACATGAAGCCTCTACTTCGATTATTTTTGTTGATTTTGATGGTTGACTGTGTGTGAACTTACGACCGAGTGCAATAATTTTATCTGATAATTGCACAAATTTATCTCGATCTGATGAAGGAAGATGTATCCCAGATTTTTCAAAATCTCTCAAAAAAATGAGAGCTACTTGACGTTCTTCTGAAGAGAATTGTGAATAAATGCTGGGCGTTGACATTACCCGTTTCAATACCTGAGATATAAGTAACGAATAATGTTGGCCTTAATGCTAAATAAAGTTTGTTGATATAATACGATGAGAAAAATAAAAATAAAAATAAATGGAAATTGAAAATAATTTATTTCAAAAATTCACATGCACTTATCCAGTATTTAAAATTTTCCTTTTGCATGTACCTGATATAATTCCCTATTGGTATTTAATGAATTCATAAATGAGCATAAATATTCGTAAATTCGATTGGCTTCTTGAGAAAACTTTTGATCAGGATGAACTGTTCGCACAAACTCAGCTGTGTCAATTACTGAACAAAGTACATCAGATAATCTATCCAAATTTTTGACTACTTTTCTTAGTTCCTCATCAGTATTAGCATTGACAATTCTATTTATCAATAATTTTACCCTCCTTACTGCCTTTTCAGCTTCTTTCTGAAAGCCTTGTGGTGATGTTAATTCTGAATTTCTGAATAAGCCGGTGAATTTCCTTGTTGAAAGTGGTGCGTCAAATTCTAACTTAGTAAAAATCCGTGAGCGATTGGTAAATTCATTCCATACATTAATATTATCAAAAATTAGACGTAAACTTTCGTCCTTTTCTGGTGTTCTGTTTAAAGTTGTTGGGCGAAACCTAGGGATTTCGCCACTGGCGAAAGGCGAAACTAAGTTCGACCTTCGCCGAAAAAAAATTAAAAAGCCGAAATGGCGAAACTGGCGCAACGTGGCGAAACTGGCGAAAGGTGACGAAACTGGCGAAAGGTGACGAAACTGGCGAAAGGTGACGAAACTAGTAAAAGCAGCAAAATTGTAAAAATAATAAAAAGTTGAAGCTCTTTCATGTAATCATCGACTTTTCTATTCATACTTGTTCAGCTTACAAAAATCACATATGTACGTACCTAATATCACACATCACTTGTGTTATTTGCATATTTGCAGTAGAAATGCTAATCAGTGAAAGTTTTCTTGATTAAAATTAGAGCCAACTACCTCGAAAAATTCTGCACAGCCAATCAGATCACTTTTTTTGAAAAATTATTCGTATCTCAGATCATCATGGCGTAGCAAAAATTTTAAAACTCGTTACATTAATGTTAGGTTACGTAGCGAAGTTAGAGATTAGGTGGTTAGATAGTAAAATCACTCAAGGAAACCTTTTTTTCAGGTGGTTTCTTATACAGATTTTTGAGAAATAAGCGATTTTGGACATGTTACGTTACACCTGATTCTTGAAATCTGATACTGAAGTTAAGACTTTGCTTCTAAACTATTATAAAATTGATAGTACTTTTATTTTATTTTTAGTGTTAAGGTGATCTTCTTAGCCATCTGTTTTATTTAGTTATAGTATTTACTTAATTACCGTATGATAAGTAACTTCTGCGAGCCTATACAGTATATATAAAGAAGAGTACACTGTATAAAATTCAGGTTTGAAATTAGGAGCGCTTTGCGCACTTAATTTTAAATTTTATGTGTTATAGACATAATGTTTATCTTAAGACTCAGTAAGCTAAACAACTTTTGAATAGGTAAGAAAATAGGTTTAATTAGTAAAATCTTGTATAAATAAATAAAAACTAAAAATTTAAATTTTAAAACTTTTCTTAACAGTTAAGTATTATTAGAACTTAAAACATAGCTGCCTAAGAGAAGAAATATATGCTAAACAACTTTACTTAAAAGGTCAAATAAGGTTTATTTAGTAAAAAGTTAAGAAATAATTAAATATTTTTTTTGTAGTTTAGTATAAATAATCTATAAAAAAAGTTATTTTAAGTTGCTAGTTGTATATTTTCAAATAAATATATTTAAGTTCTAGTTCTAATATAGATATGTATATAGAATAATAAATAATATATAATATAAAAAGTTGTATAAGTTAAGTTCGAAAGGAAAGTGCAAATAAGATAATAAGATTCTTAGGTGTTTGGTTGAATTGCAAATTAAAAGATTCTTTGATTAGATCAAGAGCTCAAGAAACAGTACGAGCAACAGTTAGAAGTTTAAACATCAAGAGAATAATGATAATACAGATGTCATACATAAACAATATATGCATTATATCAAAATTGCTGTATATATTACAAACATTAAAGCTAACAAAGACAATAGTAGATAAAATACAAAGCCCTTTATTAAAAATAACAAAAAATAAATTAGAAATAGCAAGCACAACAGAGAATAGTATAATGCTATATAGAAATCTGAAAAATTGCAATTCACTATGAAATCAACTTATAGTCAAACAAATTACAAGTCTTTATACATGACTAAATTCATGCAGTACATAAGAAGTGCTTACAAGAATACACATAAATCAAAGCCTTCTGTTAATAGAAGCAACAGACAATACATAACATAAAAATTCTTCTAAACTTTGTAATAAAATTTGGAAAATCAATTTAGCATGCTACACAATGTTAAAAGCTAAAGAAATGCAAGTTATATTAAGTTTTGGCAACCCAAATCTATATCTAAATAGAAAAGGAAACAAAATTACAAAGTTGTTAGAAAATAACTTTACAAGAAAGGTAGCACTAGCATTAGAAAAGCTAAAGTTAATATATATAAAACAGTTAATTAACAAGTCTAAAAATCAAATATTATTATAGTAACAACTTAAACTTCTATGAGGACTGTTATACAAAGGCAAACAAGCAGAATGGTTCAGTAAAATAGAAGAAAAAATAATAGAAAATAAGCAAAATAGGAGAGTAAAAGAAAGTGACAAACTCAAAAGCCAAATGAGCATGCACTTGAAATTCAGCTAGAGCCATACTCAAAAGATAGAAGAAAGAAAGAATAAATGTTTGTAAAACCAAAAAAAAAAAGAAGAAAAAGAGAACTCAAAGCCATTTGTTAAAAGAATTATTGTAAGTACACAGAAAAAAGCTCTAACAGAACATTGAAAACTAGACACTAAACCAGAAAGTTCAAAGTTTTTTTTGAACAAATATAAAGATTGCAGTCTAAATCAAAAGATAGAAGAAGGAAGCTGTACAAGATAGAAAAATAAAAAAGAAATTCAAGGTTCAATATCAAAATTTGGAAGAAAACAAAAAGATCTGATTTTAGATTTAAGCTATGAAATGTTTGCATAATTAGGTGACAAAGAAGAAGCAACATCAACAGAAATTGAACAAAAAGCAGAATATATACATTGCATAGATCTAGAAACAGAAATTATACAGAAGTAGTCAATAAGTTAGGCAATAAAGATAAAACTTATTTAAAAGAAAGACTTAAACCAAGAAAATCTAGAAGATACTCTGGTATTTTATACAGATGAATCATTAAAAAAAGATTCAAAGAAAGAAATCTCAAGCCCAGATCATATAGAAGCAGGCTGGATACAGGTGGATACAAAAGAAGAATTAATACTTGATGAAGGTTATTTTGAAATATAAAATTAGTCATTATCAACAAGACCTGAGCTATTAGCAATTTGGTACATGTTGCTTACTATACCAAGCAGAAAAAAAGTTAAAATATTCACAGACAGTGCAACAGCTATTGCAAATATAAAAGGCAAAAATAGCTTTTTATCTGCTAAACAATGTTTAAAAAAAAAAACTTTAATATATTAGAAAATATTAGGAATAGTGTAGAATTAAAAGAACTTAAGTTAGAATTAGTTAAAGTTAAAGGGCATAGTGATAGTAAATAGAATATTAGAGCAGATAGATTAGCAAAGAAGGGATCTAAATTAGACAATATAGACAGAATAGTTAAAGAAACATCACAAGAAACTAGCATTAATCTTTGTTGGAAAAAAAGGTAATAAAAGATTCTACAAGACAATTCCTAAAAAAAATTTTAAATTTTAAAATAAGTGTAGAATAGAGTTTCATATCAGCAATCAAGAAAACAGAACCAAATAAGAACAATAAAGCATATAATTGGTCATATCTGTAAAAAAAAATGAGAGACCAAAGGGAAAGCAAATATGCAAATATAAGAAAAAATAAGCAAATAAGGACTCTAATAAAGTGCATTAATAAAAAGTTATCTTTGACCAAAACACTGACACAGCATCATCCTAATTTCTATAAGAATGCATATTGCATGCTTTGTCAAGAAGACAAAGAAGAAGATCAAGACCATTTGACAACATGTAAACATTATGAAAATATATGAAGAAATATAGAAGAAACATCAGTCAGCTTGGCATAGTTGAAGTTATTAAGTAAAATCAAAACAGAAACATGAAAAGATCAACTTAAAAAGATATTCTGGAGTACACAAATAAATGAAAAATTAAGAACAAGACAAGAAATAATCAAAGGCCTACTACAAGAAAAGTTAATAGAACATTTGCAAGAAACTTTACAATTCTTTAAAGAAACAAAAGAATTTATTATCATAGCAATCAATACATCATAGAATTGCTTTTATAAAGATATATAAAAAAAGTAATATGAAGTTTTTATTCAATGAGAAAAAGAATTAGAAATTGAGAAAAAAGTTAAGTAAAAAAAAAGAACTATAAGAAAAAAGCCAACTGAGAAGGTCAATGAGTTTATTAAAGTAAAAAGAAGTCAAATAATAAAAAAAAGGAAAAAAAGAAAGGAAGTAGAAAACAAAAGAATACAGAAAACATAGTTTGGCTTAATTACAAAATTTATAGAATCGTGTGGTGACCTAGTGAAGTGGTCAGGTTGTCAACCCTTCAAATAGTAGGTTGGGTGTTCAAATCTCATCAACAGTGAAAATTTGAATAATCATCTATGTAATATTCATATTATTGCAACTGTTATTAATGATTGGGTTAGGATACCTGTAATGGCAGTTACACCAGCATGACTGACAGGTCATGGGGTATCTGTGCAATGTTGAAGTTATACAAAGGAATGCAAACCAACAAATCAGGTGGTGCAAACACTAGATAAGTTCTTGTGGCCGTATAAATCCATTGAAATTAAGTAACAAGAAGTCCATTTGGAAAGACCTGAGTAGAGAGATTGCTGGATCTTCGATGGCCCTACTGTAAAGGCTAGCTTGGCAAAACAGATACCTAGATCTAGTACCCAGTCCTAGTATCCAGATGGGCAAGAACCTCTGGGTTGGAAGTCTTGGAGGTATCACCAACCAGGCCATCAGAATGAACCAAAGGAAAAGGATATTAGGCTAACCTAATATACTGATGGACTGGTCATAGTCCTACACAGGCTATCTGAATTGAAAGTTTGGTAAAAGGGCAAAAGAAAAGGCAGAGATATACTAAAGTATCAGGATTATGCTATGAAGTAGATGCTGGGGTTTAAGTGAACTCTACAAGGGCATAGCGGTTTAATAGTTAGCCCTGACCACAAGTGTTGGTTCTGCCATAGCAATACCTAGGTTAGCTGTAAAAATAGGTACAGAAGGCTCTGGGAGGTTTATCTCGAGGATAAATTAGTCCTAAGGTTGAGAATGATGATCTGGGCATTTGAGATGACAAGTGATGTTAATACAGATTACAGGTTTAAAGAGTTTAAAGTAAAACACCCAAGCAGAGGTATTAGGTACAGCAATTGGTAGAGAATCTTTGGGTAGATTTCTTAAATAGGTAATATAGAAAAGTTACATGTGTAGCCAATTGTACTTTCTTCTGTAGTGGTTCATTGAACCACAATATCGATAAGTAATTAATAAAAGTCAAAAGACCAAAGAGGTTATCTTAATACCCCCAAAAAAAAAATACAAAATTTATAGATAGTAGAAAGAGGCCATTTATATATGGCCCTTCTGGCTAGTTTGGTATAGCTCCTGAATTTGGGTACAATCTCAACTGGTGTGGCAGACTGCCTCTGAGCATTCAAAGAAGTAGCTGAAAGATGTCAGACCAAAATTTTAAGTTAAAAATATATATAATTTATATACAAAAATCTTAATAAAGTTTTACAGCAAAGCTGCCAAAGAAAAAAAAAAAACAATTATTTTTAATAT